TTTTTAATTATAATTTAATTTAGGTTTATTAACAAAGAAATTTAATTTACGTTTAATAATATACTTTTTTTATAAAGATAATAACTAAGTATTATGTAAGAACTCAATTATTATCTTAATTATATTTTAGATTTTTTATATTTAAAATTAGATATTTATCCAATATTTGATTAATTATGTTTATCTGCAGTTAGTTACACGAATTCAAATATAAAGCTTTAATAAGAACACTATTTATGCATAATTTACTTGTAATCTTAAATTTTAAGTAATATGCATAATAAATAGTACTCTGTGTGTAAAAAATGTTTTTTAAGAGTTTTTGTCAAATGCATTATAATATAGTATAATTATTTTTATATATTTTAATTTATTTTTATATATTTTTTTTGGGTAAATTTCTTGATAATATTAATATTTGTTTTTATATTTTAGTTAATGTCGTGTTATATCATAACTTAATGACCAAACCTGCTCTAAAATCTACGTCTTAGTAAAAATGAAAAAAAAAAAGTTTGGTTGAAAAGCAAAAATTATTGTTATTTTTTATACTGAAATGCATTGACTACAGTAGGAGTTAATCTAAAATATATCAGTAGTAATGTACTTAATACTTAAAAAACCAGTTAAAATACAGAAAGAGGGGAGGGAGGTTCATTCGAGAACCTCAACTCATGCATTTTGAGAACTCGGGAAGACAGTGGTCATCAATCTCAGTTAATTCAATGAATCTCATTAAAATTAATCTTTTATAAGGTCTAAAATCCTATGTGCAAGGCCTCAGTGTCGATGATGATCTCTTGCACTCATGTCTCATGTCCATTTGACCCTCAATGAACCACCCATGTGTTGTTAACGTCATCTCCACCTTCTCTGCTAGCTGGTCACCACGTTTTCTTTTCTTTGATGACTCTTTTTCGATTTTTTTCACCCACGTCGACCACCATAATTTTTTATGGTTCTGGTTTAAAGCCCAATCAGATTTTTACTCACATCATTCTTATTCTCACGTTTAGCCATTAAAACTCATATCAGCTGTAACACTATGGATATAGACGTGTTGTATGAAATTTGTTTTCTTATATCAAAGGTGGGTATTTAGGATTGAGTAAGCCATATAAATAATAGCATATTTATGAATTTTGGTAAGGGGGTCGGAATTTTAATTTATAAATTTTGGAGGATCAAAGGGGTGTGTGTGTGTGTGTATATATATATATATATATATATATATATTTGGGATCATGTGAGACAAGATTGTTTCATGAGACACGTGAAACACGATATTTACACGTGAAACACGATTTTTACACTTGAAACTTCACAGCAAAAATACTGTGAAGGTTACGCCTTTTTTTACCTTCACAACATTTTGTTGTGAAGTTTCAAGTGTAAAAATCATGTCTCATGTGTCTCATGAAAGCAACCTTATCTCACGTGAACTCAACCCTATATATATATATATATATATATATATATATATATATATATATATATAATATAAAATTTGTAATATAAAAATAAAAAATTGAAAATTTATCATCTGAAATTGCCATCTATTTGTGATGATACTACATAAGACAATCCTTCACCTTCTCATGACAAGGGTGCTTGATGCATGAGAAACCATGTATGAGACTTACACTTTGATGCACATAATTTACATGTCATGTGAATGAAATGAGCTTTTACATTTTTAAAGGCTATATTATACATACACACACTTTTGCAACAAAGTAAAGTGCAAACCAGATGCATTCTATTATCATGTTGTAGCATCTTTATATAAGACATACAGTTGTTGGTTCTCTAAACTCAAAAGCCTCGTTATATACTGCTATTACTATAATTGGATGTCACAATATACTGATCTATACTATATTATAAAGCATTAACGTAGCAGGATGTAATTCAAACAAATATAAACAAAAACGTCAGGTCTAAATTCATTTTCACCAGATAAAGCACATAGTTGGGTTCACTTATTAAAATTACCTACATTGGTTTCCAGTGTCCAACACGCCAACTGTATAACAAGAGGCATAATCCATCATTTTCTGCTTTTTTTTTCATTTGAAAACTTTTGATACTGATTCAATGCAAATGAGTAAAGAAAAAACTTCCTATGTAAAAGGAGTTATTAAACATAAACATTTGTTACCAAATGATATTTGGCCTAGCAGTACGTGAGTCCTTGGCCTCCTAAGAGGGCAAGGGTTCAAACATCATCAAAGATGAGAAGGGTGTGTGAGTTTATTTGTTCTATTTATCGTATATAAATATTATATACTTAAAAGAAAAACATAAACACTTGTTCAAGTTAAGTTGAACTCAAACCATCAATTCGTTCTACATATATGAAATGGAAAGAGGTCAATGCATCCACATAATGATCAATAACGTTGACTTTATTTAAAGGGACAATCGTTATACTTGAAAAAATCCTAAATAAAGGCACTTACACTTGTAAAATACGTTACAACAAAATCGGATTTATAGGACACTCTCAATTTCTAAGCGTCCTAATAGACCTCTTTATAAGACTTAGTTTTAGGACCAAAAAAAATAAAACGTTTTATCTAAAGGCGTTGTAATAAGTTTATATGACGTTTTTTGACGTCGTAGTAAGTTTTTTAGGACACTTTTAATATAAAGTGTCGCATTAGCAACTTTATAGAACACTATTTGAAAATTTGTTCTATAAAAACAAATGTCCTATGAAAAATTGAGTTCACTTTCTTAAAAGTGTCCTATAAAGTTGTTAATGCGACACTTTGAATTAAAAAATGTCCTAAAAACTTGTTAAGACGCCCAAAAGCGTCATATAAACTTATTACAACACCTTTA